TTCAAAATCAGGATGCAAGAATTCTTTTTTATGAGAAAAGTATATTTTGGCCTGTATTTCTGTTAAACATTTGGAAAATAGCCCTGCTCCAGTCAGTTTGGTATAATTCAGTGGACTATTGAATTTAGTGGGCAGCTAGGTTAGGCATACTTGCATGCATAATGTAGCCATCCTAAGGTGTGCATTTTGTGGGTTTAGTAAAAAATTCTACTGTGCATGCTTACTACATGAATTATAAAAATATGACCTAATTCGGCAGCTGGATCTGCCCGCATAAAATCCTGCTGAAGTCAACTCGGCTCCACATGGGTGCAAAGGTCTACTACCCATGCAGATCAGCTTGCAGGATCTGTTGAATCCAAATTGGTTTTCCTCAAAACAATGAAAGGCACTACTCCTCAAAAAGGACCATTTCCATCCCATATTTCATCCTTTAAACCTCATCAGCCATGTGGACTGTAGGCCAATCACTATATATAAAATCAGAAAAGTGCCATTTCCCCACTTTCCTCACATAAAAGCAGCTGAACTATAATTGCTCCAACCTTAAAAGAAAAAAGAAAGCTGTCATACAGAGAATAAGCATGAGCATATTCAGCAAGTTACAGGTGAGTGAAAAGAAAGCCTGGTGTTATAATGGAAACTGTTATATAACCTTAACTCCAGCAACTCTTCGCTATAATAAAGCAGAAAACTTCCTTGTGTTTAGTATGGATTTTGAGAGTGATATGGATATTGTGAGTACAACAGTATTATAAACCAACTACAAATTTTAGATTATTTTATTCAGAAGTGCATAAGTGTTGAAACTACAGAAACAATATATCCTTCTAACTTAATGCATGATACTGTAAAGCAATTTTTTTTAACTACAATGTTTCTGCATCCCATGTACTCTAATCTACAGTAACTGCCTTAGTCCCTCATGTCATACAAATAACAGGCAAAAGCACCAAACTGCAAAGACATTATTAACTGTTTATGATTATTTGTGTTGTAGTAGTGTCCCAAGCCCTAAATAAGGTTCAGAGCTCTTTATTATCTATGCACTGGAAATATATATGTGGACATGGTCACTATCACAAAGACATGAGTATAATAACGATCATGAGGGAAGGAGGGTAGGACAGAAGCAGATCCCACCTTGTCCTTCTATTCACCCAGGGTGAAGCTCTTTTAGCAGTCAGAGAGAAAGGGAAGCTAGGAATTTTGCTGTGAGTTCTGTTAACAAAAACAAAACCAACAAAATAACACCCTCACAAAAACTATTCTGATAGTGCAACTGAAGACACACACACTACGAACAAATATTAGAATTGGCAATAAATTACAGATAATTCCCAAGAATATTGGATTCAGATTGGTGTATCTGAGACAAAGACACATCATTGGCAGATGAAAATTCTAGTTTATAGAAACTAATCTGTAACTTTTAGGCTGGGATGTTTCACCATTTGTATTCACCATGAACTATTTTCCTCCTTGTGGCACCTTAGAGACTAACAAATTTATTAGAGCATAAGCTTTCGTGGACTACAGCCCACTTCTTCAGATGCATATAGAGTGGAACAAGTTGATGGATTTCCACCCCATACGGCTAAATGCAGTGCCTTGCATAATGACAGGTTTCAGAGTAGCGGCTATATTAGTCTGTATCCGCAAAAAAGAACAGGAGTACTTGTGGCACG